TTGCAGAGCAGCTGAAATGAGAATAAGACGGTGAGCTGGAGGGGTAGAAGGTTGTGGCCAGAGCAGGTTATGAAATCCACAGAAGGCTTTGTAGAGGTCATGTCCAGCCTATTTGTTGTATCAGTTTCTTTTTTTTATACACTGTTTTAATGTACATTCAATAATGGGGCCGCCTATTATTTTCTTGGAAACTCTAATTCAAAACGTTACTTATATAGGCCAAAGTTTGCCTGCCTGAAAATTCAGTGTTGATTCTAGTTCTGCCCTCTGGAGTTAACACAGTGTGAGATTAAACAAGTCTGTTCTGCCTTCTGTTTTATAACCCTTAAACATTTAAAAATAGCTGTCATGTTTTCTCCAGACTCAACCTTCAAAGCTTATTCAGCTATTACAGAACGGTATGGTGGTGGTTTGTAAGCAGGGTGGTGGACAGGGCCAGGGCTTAAGTGAATAGAAGGGGCTTCTCAGAGAGCACTGAGCTCGGCGAAACCCGGGGAGGTCCTGGGGCACGCAGGCCTTTCCCACAGATAGAGGTGGCGGCAGCAGCTTGCGCCTGTGGACGACTGGCTGGAGGGCCTGGCATCCCAGGGAATAGGCCAGGCTGCTTCTTGATCCCGTTTCAGTCACTCACTGTCTTACCTAATCTGTCCCTGACCCACCATAGCAGTTCTCTTGGCTTTTGATGCCAAAGAGCTCCATAAAGACGAGGCTTATTTAGGCAGTACGAAAACTATATTTAGTTCATCTCAGCTGGCCAGTTAAGCAGTCCTTATGTGATCTGAGTTTGGACCAGGGCTCCTTCTAATACTCAGTGTCTTGTCTCATGTCTCCACTGCACACAGACTTCTGAATGGGACTCCGAATGCCTTACATCCCTGCAGCCCCTTCCTCTCCCCACGCCCCCTGCAGCAAACGAGGCACACCTGCAGACTGCAGCCATCTCCCTGTGGACAGTGGTGGCAGCTGTGCAGGCTATAGAGAGAAAGGTGGAGGTCCACAGCCGGCGACTCCTGCATCTAGAGGGACGGACGGGGACGGCAGAGAAGAAGCTGGCCAGCTGTGAGAAGACAGTGGCCGATCTCGGGAACCAGCTGGAGGGCAAGTGGGCCGTGCTGGGGACCCTGCTGCAGGAGTACGGGCTGCTGCAGAGGCGGCTGGAGAACCTGGAGAACCTGCTGAGGAACAGGAACTTCTGGATCCTGCGGCTGCCACCGGGAATTAAAGGAGACATCCCAAAGGTAGTCCTTCACTTGCAGGTGGAAAGGGGTACCTCTGGTCCTTAGCCTAGTCATGAGAGTAGTCTTGGTCAGTCAGGCTGAAGGAACCATGAAGCTGTTTTGTGTTTATCTATTTGGGAGGCATCCCATGTTCAATTTAGCGATCATTTGAAGTGTCAAGCTTCAGATTGGGAAGCTCTCCTGTAGAAAGTTGGTCATCTGGCAGATGGATCTTTTTTTCTCTTTTGTTTTCTCCTACTTATGACCCCCCCAAGTCACTTTTTTCTTTGTTAACCTGTCTGCCACAATCTTGGTGTGGAGACTAAATTAAATATCATTTAAATCAGTCCATTTGAATTTGTTGGCAATTCTGGTGAAAGAGTTAGAGGAAGGACAGGGAAGGGATATAGAATAAACGGTCACTCTAAGGGTTTGGGGTGACCTGTAGATCTGGGATTGACATAGACCTTGTCGTCAGCATCCTTCACAGAAGTGTGCTGCAGTGTGAGGACTCAGCCCATAAAAACAAAAGAAACAAACACCATCCTTAAGCTATGGGTGACAGCCTGGAGGCCGCTAGTTCCCAGGCAGCCCACTTTTTATTCCTTCATTCAACCAATACTTCTTGAACACTTAACTGTTTGCTTCATATCTGCATGCTGAAGGCACAGCAGTGAACAATTCCGGTGAGCTCCCCTGGAGCTTAAATGTTAGTGGGAAAAGAAAGATAATATAAACAAACAAAAAAATGAATACATTAAGTGCTTTGATAAAAATGAAAGTACTATCTGGTGATCTATTTTACACTGGGTGTCAGAGAAGATCTCATAAAGGAGATAATATTTAGCCTGAGACCGAATGACAGGGAGGGCCCAACTGTGAGAAGCTCTGCGGAAGAGCCTCTGGCAGGAAGAAGGCCTAGTGCAAAGTTTCAAAGGCGCAGACAAACTTGGAGCACCACGGAGAGGAAAAGGGCAGGTAGCAGGTATGCAGTAAGTAACCAGGAGCGGGACAGGGAGGGGTCAGGTCGTTTAGGGCAGTGCTTTTCAGCTCCAGCTGCACTTAGGAATCAGCTGGAGGCCTTTTGCATTTTCATGGGCATCACACACACAGATTCTGATTTACTAGGTCCAGGATGGGGCCTAAACAGTAATAAACCCAAAGCTCCATAGATGATTCCAACATTTGACTCGGTTTGTGAACCACTGATCAAAGGCATTGCAGACCAAGGTAAGGAATTTGGATTTTATCTTAGTGCTTCCAAGGGAAGACATTGGAGGGTTTTAAGAAGAGGAGTTACATTTTGAAAAAATCATTTGGCTGCTATGTGAAAAATGTATCATGGGGTAAGAACAGAAAGAAGCAAGGAGAAAATAAGGCAGCTGTAGTAGCTGGAGGAGTAAGCGTGGTTTGGATGACAGTAGCAGTGATGGACATGGAAACACGTGGACGGATTCAGGATATGTCAGTGGTAGAACAGACAATAGGACTTACTGATGGGGATTAGGGAAATGAGGAATCAAGAACAGCAATAATTGTAAATGTCCTGTGTGGTAATTCACTTAAAAGTCACTGTTCTAAGTGCTGTTGTTATTTCCACCAGAACCCTAACTAGTCCAAGATCATATCGTTACTGGGTATAAATGATGGAGCTGGATTGTAACCCATTGGCTCCAGAGCAGAGGCTCTTAACCACCTTGGGGTTCCCAGACTCTCAGGCTGTTGGCCTGAACGAGATGCATGCTGTTGGCATTTGCTGAGATGGGGACCACCTTGGGGGTGAGAAGGAACTAGGAGTTCTTCTTTGGCAGCGTTAGGTTTGCGATGCCTGGGATACATTCAGGAGACATGTAAGTGGGCTTCGCGTGAGTCTCGAAGGTGCGCAATAGCCATTGATGCATAGATTGTATTGTAAGTCATGAGACTGGGAGTGGTCACTGCAGAGAAAGTGGAGAAGCCTGAGAAAGGATCCAAGGACCAAGTTCCAGGGATGGGAGGGGACTGAGGACAAGTGGCCCGGAGGTAGGGACCAAGGAAGGAGGTGGGGTCACAGGGGCAAGGAGAAAACGCATTTCAAGGAGTTGTTATTTGGGTTGAGCATGTTACCGGGAGGCCTAGAAAGATGAGGGTAGTGAATGTGATTTGGCAACAGAGACCTCGCTGGTGACCTTGACCAGAGTTGTTTCAGCTCGGTGGTGGGCATAGAAGATGGAGCAGGGTGGGGAGGGAAAAAACGGATGACAGATAATGGACTCTCCAGGAGGACGAAGNCCGGGCGGGCGCCGCCTGCGGAGAGGCCGGGGGCCGGCCTGTGTGGGACCGCGCGGCGACGGCGGCGACTCCGGGCCGGGCCGGACAGCGCAGGGCCATGGCCGAGGCCACCCCGGCTCCGGTAAGGGCCGCCCGCGCGCCGAGCGCTGCGCGCCCGGGAGGGTGTGGGCGCGTCGGGCTGTGACCGCCGACCCGCGGAAGAGAGGAGGGCGGGAAGCACGGCCTGTCAGACGCGGGGCGCGGACCCCGCGGCCGAGCACAGGCGCCCTCGGCGTCCGCCGGCCGGAGTGCGGCCTGAGCGTGGGGTGGGAGCCCGACGCGGAGCGCGGGGCCGGGAAGGCTCGCCGCCTCCCTCGCCGTGAGGCCCCCCGCACCTCGCTGTCGGGCCGGGGCTCCCCGCCCAGCCAAGGTTTCCAGCGAGTGCAGGGCGGGTGTCAGCCCGCTGCGGCCGGGCAGACGCGGGGCGGCGGGCTCGGGGCGGTGCGTTCGTCCGCTCTCCTCCAGCGGTGGCGCCGGCCGCCTGAGCCTCGCACAGCCGCAGACGCGGTGTGACCGCCACGCACGGGCGTGCACGACAAGGACTGTGTGAGGACAGGGATTCCCCAGTGCCCAGCGCATGACAAGGCCGGACGCACACACGGCGACCCTCCGCGGGTGCTGCCGAGTGAATGATGGTGCGGGGGCCGAGGGCGGCATTGCCTGACGTGCGTTGATTCCTTCCGACGCTGCAGGCCTGCGGACGCCCGGCCTGCGGCCAGTTGCTAGGGCTGCAGATGACCAGGACGGTCCCTGCACGCAAGACCCATGTAGAACGAGCGGGGACTAAGCAAGAAACAGGACTGAAAAGTATGCCTTGGACTTGCCAACTAAGAAGTCTTGGGTTCCCCCCGAGAAGAGCCATTTTAGTGGGTCAGGAGCCAGCCTGCGCTACCAAGGAGTGACTGGAAAGAGAAAAAGAAGAAGAAAAAAAAAAAAAAACAGGAGGAAAAAGAGGGAGGGAGCAGTCATGGGGTGGGGAACAGAGCAGAAGGGAATGCCATCGCTGGCTGCCCTTCGATCTTTTTCCTTTTCCAATCTGTTTCTAAAATATGGTCGAGGTGGTCATGTGTCTGTGCCAGCCCTGTCCAACGGAAGTATAATTAATGGAAGCCATGTATACGCACAACTTTACATTTTCTAGTTATCTGTAAAAATTAAAAAGAAATAGATGAAATTAGCTTGAATGGGATTTTATTTAATTCCGTGCATACCAAAGACTTCCATGTGCAGTGAAAGTTAAGACATTAACTACACTCTGCATTTTTCCCCCATCCTACGTCTTCAAAATCTGGTGTGTATTGTATACTCAGCAGCATATCTCAATCAAAATAACCGTCCTTCAGGTGCTTAACAGCCACAGGTGGCTACCATATTGAATGGCACACGTCTAGCTTATGGGAAAAAAAATCAGGAGAGATGGAAATATTGGCCATAAAGAGAAAACAGCAATGTACCTAAAATTGTGGAAGGCGTTGGCATTCGGAGCATGAGTGGAGAGATTAGCTTTAAATAGGATGAACCTTTTCCCTGTGGGACAGAAAGGAGAAATCATGGATTAAGTTATTAATGAGTTTGAAGTGGGAAGCAGTGTGAAGAAAAAGAAGAGAAAGTTGAGAGGGTTTTGGTGTAATTACTCTTAACTTCTCCATGTCATCTCCTGAGAGTGAGGGGCCTGCAGCAGCCTCGAGGCTTCCTTCTCAGTGTGTGCTCCCTGCGCACCAGTGGCGTTAGTGTCACCAAGGAGCTTGTTAAAAATGCAGAATCTCAACTTTCCTCCCAGACCTGAATCAAAGTCTGCATTTTAACGAGATCTCCAGATGACTTTTATGCACACTTAGCTTGAGAAGCATTGTAGTAAAAGTGTAAGCAGAGGGCGGGGAGTTGGTAGCGGCCACTATATGGAATATGGGAAAAGAAGGGTGAGGCATCAGGCAGTGTTGAGTCCCCGCTGAGCTTAGACACCATAAGTGTGCAGCGACACCAGCTCACCTGGTTGTGTGACTTACCAGCCTGCTTACAGGAACAGAGAATGAGAACGATTGGACAGAATCAAACCTGGAGGTTTGCTGAGTGAAGAAGTTTTGCTGAGAAAGACAGATGGGGGAAAGAGTTGAAGGTAGCTGAAGTGCTCAGTCGAGGAAGAAAGCAAAGCCTGGAGCAGGCAGATAAGCCAGGAGCAGATGGAGTGGTCAAGGGTTCACTTTAGAGGGATTTGCAGAGCAGCTGAAATGAGAATAAGACGGTGAGCTGGAGGGGTAGAAGGTTGTGGCCAGAGCAGGTTATGAAATCCACAGAAGGCTTTGTAGA